TACAGCCAAATTCTGGCATCCTATCCGTTAAAGGCAGAGTTAAGATTGTAAATGAGTCTTAGCCTTCTGAGTGTGTTTGTCATTGAGTTGCCTTGGGAACCAAAATGAAGCAGCACAGGTGAATGCATTGGCCTGGGACATCCCATGCCTATGGGAAGAATGAGTAAGCATCAGCTCTGGGTGGAGGGTCAGAGACAGGGGCATTAGTGCAGACAATGGTGGAGAGCCAGCTGGAGTTACAATAAGAAGACCGGATGATATTGATTGCCAAGTTTTGGCTCTGAAATGTTCCTTTGACCTCATCTGTCCCTGAGCATCCTAGATATATTTCCCAATGTCATGATGAACCTCCTGACCTTGGCTCCAGGAAATGTCTGCATTATTTCCCACACATCAGTATCAGTACTTTAGAGTATGCCTGGGAGCCAACAAAGTATATAATAAAATGTAACTGTTGTCATTGTATAATGACAAATGCTTGGAAGCCTGGCTTAATGAATTCATTCAGAATGGGCCTGTTTCTGTCAGGGTTATTCTGCAAAAGCTGACAGGACCAGTAGAGACCCAAACTCAGCCTTCGACTCTCCTCAGATTCCAAGGCTTTGGAATCAGCCTGTGTGTATGGTCTTCTCCATGGGTGTAACAACCATTTACACTGCCCTACAGGGGCTCAGTGTGTAAAATGTGTGCCATGCAAGCATGAAGACCTATGTTCAGATCCCCAGCACCCACATAAAAAGCCAGGCCTGGTAGCACATAGTAACTGACAGTGAGAATCAGGAGACCCTTGAGGCTTACTGCTCAGCCAGTGGTTCAGTGAGAGACCCTGTCTGAGAAAGCTAAAGTAGAGAGGGATTGAGGGGTTGAGGAAGACACTTGAGGTCAACAGGTATACAAATGTACACTGCCATACAGGAATGAAATGGATCTCAGTGGTTAAAGCATTTGTCTTGTAGGCACAACACCTTGTGTTTGACCCCATTAACACACACACACACACACACACACACACACACAGATACACACACACACACACACACACACAGAGAAACTCGAAGAATTCTTCCTGACATGCCTTGGTTTTATGCACAGCTATGATATTAATCGCCTAGACTTACAGTCATGGAATTACACACTTAGGCAATGAAGGAAATCAGGAACTTCAGGGCCAAATAGTTCCCTTTCTAGGGTTGAATACACTGCTAAGTTCTGAACAACAGGCATAAATGACACACTACACCCACAAGGAAGCAGGTCTTCTAATTCAATGAAAGGAGAATCAGTGTCTCTTGTCTTGGGGATTACTGCTGGGATTAAGGACTGTTCCAGAGACCAAAGGACCAACACATGCAATGAGAATCCTGGCTGGCTGACTGGGACCTCAGCACCCCCCACCTGCTTACATGGGCCCAAGCTAAGAGACCAACACACCCAACAGGAGGATTAACCTTGGCTTTGAGACACCGCCCTCTGCATGGCCCTCATCAGGGTATGTGTGTGAGCTCTGTGGTGTGTGCTGAGTGGAGAAGGAGGATAATCACAGGAATTCAGCCTCTGCTTGAGGCTAAGTGTGCGGGCATGCCTGCCAGGAGAGCGTGCACTTGAGAGAGCTCTGGTCACCCCCATGGACCTGCTCATTCCAATGCACCCTGAAGCCAGAGGTCCCCTTATTGAGTTGCAGACCACAGCTTCAAATATCCAGTGACAGGACCCTCTGGGGTGGAACTCTGCACCCTTCCAGGCATGTGCCCCAAATCCCCTCACTTCTTATGTCCTTCCCAATTCCCCACTCTCTCTCTCTGCTGCAGGAAAACCTGCAACCCCATGAAAGTCCTGCCTCATCTCAGGCTTCCAATCAGCCCCTGGGCTCGTCCCCTTCTAAGTGACTGCTGGTTCTGGCCTAGTTCAGTGTGGGGGACCTTCCACCATGTGGGTGACATAAAGTTCTGATTGGAGAAGTCAGCAGCCAGGTTTGCATTGCCTGCCATTAAACAGAGTAAGTGTGAGAACTTCAGCATGGACATCTTTTGTTTGTTTTCCAAGACAAGGTTTCTCTATATAAGAGTCATGGCTGTCCTGGAACTCACTGTGTAGACCTGGCTGGTCTCGAACTCACAGAGAACCACCTGCTTCTGCATCCCAGGTACTATGATTAGACGCATGCACTGGCCCGCAGCACAAACATCCTAATGTTCTCATTTTAAAAACCACACAAAGATTCCTATGCATTGTTGCCTATCAGTGTAAGCCAAGGATTGCCTCCATCAACAGCTATGAAAAGCATGATTCCATCAGATGCTAAGGAAGTGGGCCAAGGAGGAAGCTGAGGCTGATGTAGACCTCCCAGAAGCCCTGGGAAATTGGGGATATTTTCAATGGCTATTTTTATCAGCAGACTATTTTTGTCCTGTATTAGACAATGGAAATCTATATTTTTATGATTTGACTTACCTACTGTCACTACAGTTTCTCGTGGTGGTCTTACTCCTAAAATTGGGGATATTTTCAATGGCTATTTTTATCAGCAGACTATTTTTGTCCTGTATTAGACAATGGAAATCTATATATTTTATGATTTGACTTACCCACTCTCACTTCAGTTTCTCGTGGTGGTCTTACTCCTACCTCAGCTGACGGAAGCTCTGGAAGAGCAGTCACTCCCCTAACACTCAGGGTCTTTCTTGCTGCCCACCCTGAGTGGGTGTCATGGAAGCCCTGCTGGAGGTGGAATGTACACAGGCTCCTCACCAGACAGCAGGGGAGGGTCTCCACATGGTTCAACCCTCCCAGTTGTGGGTGTACATCCAGAGGCAGGGAAGCTAGCATCCACTAGAGACACCTGACACGCACGTGATATTGTTGTATTATTCACAATAACCGAGATACGGGAGTCAGCCTAAGTGCACACACACACACACACACACACACACAGATGAATGGAAAGAGGAACTAGAGCTGTACACGATAGGATACTATTCACCATGAACAAGAATGGAATCTTACTATTTACAGTAGAATCATGGGGCCCAAAGGACACCAGGGTCAGAAAGGCCAGAAGTACAAATGTCTCCTCTACCTGGAAGCCAAAAGAAAAATATAAAAAGACCTGAAAGTAAGACAGTTGTGATGGCTGTTCTTGGTTGTCAACTTGGCTACATCTGGAATGACATACAGTCCAGAAATGGGGGGGGCACACCTGTGAGGGCTTAGAGAGGGAGAGCGTCATTCTCTACGTTCTATTAGTCCAGAGAGCCCCGGCTAATGCAAGAGCAGTTACTAGGGAAGGGTTCTAGAAGGACAGATGCCGTGAGAAGAGAAGAAGGATTGGAGACGCCACCAGCATGCCCCTTGTGCCTACGTGCTGACTGACTTTTTCCTTGAACTCAAGCCCGAGGCTTTGCTTGACAGGCTGCCTGATTTTGTGTCAATTTGATGCAAGCTCGAGTCATCTGGAAATGGAGAATTTCAATCGAGTACATGCTCCCACCAGACCGGCCAGTGAGGCAACCTTGTGGTGCAGTTTCTTGACTTAAAATTGATGGGGGAGGGCCCAGCCTATGTGGGCAGTGCTACCCCTGGGCTGGTGGTCCTGGGTTGTATGACAAAGCGGCCTGAGTGAACCATGGGGAGCAAGCCGGTAAGCAGCACTCTATCATGTTCCCGCCTCCAATTCCTACCTGCAGTTCCTGCTCTGACTTCCCTGGTTGATAGGAAATAAATCCTTGCATCCCCAAGTTGCTTTTGGTGATGGAGTTTTATCCCAGCAACAGAAAAGTAACTAAGACACCTGGGATTCTGCATTGAGGATGGAGCAGGCCATGTGGTGAGCCGGGACTGCAGCAGATTCCACAGGGCTAAGGGGCTGGAGAAGTGAGTTCCAGGCAAGCCAGAGTTATATGGTGAGACCACACACACACACACAAACACACACACACACACACACACACACACACACACACAGAGAGAGAGAGAGACAGAGACAGAGACAGAAAGAGAGACAGAGAGAGACACACACACAGAGTACTTTTAAGCCAAATACCCTTTAAGAAGTACCAGAAGGGCACGTGGCTATACGTAGGCCTGTTGCTGAGTAACAGAGCCCCTACCCCGGTTAATAGTTACATAGAAGGCATGCTCTGGAACTACTGGAGGAGAGTCCTTGGTTGCATAACGCAGAACCTGCACTTGAGTGACTGGGGGATGTGTCCACTTTCCTGCTGCTGTGAACAGTCCGGCTTGCTTTGGGAAGCTACACCCAGAATGCTTAGCACTGCTCCCCTGGGAGCCATGGTCCCTAGAGAGGGCTATTCTGGGAGAGAATGCAGAGCAGTGGGGGATGAAGTGTTGCTTGATGCTGTGTGATGACCAAGCCAGGCATGGTGCCCAGTTCCTGTAATTTCCTTGGCATGTCACCTAGTCCCTAGCAAGCAAGACCTCCCATCATGTGACCTGTGAGTGAATGAACAAACATAGCTATTCCTCAAACAAGAGGAAATGCCTAAAAATTCAGTCTTCTCTACAGAGCTCTTGACCCAGCGGGCCACAGACACTGATTCCCTGTTCTAGCTTCACGGGGTGAAGAGCGGGCTCACCCTCGCTAATACCCTCTTGCAAAAGAGAGGTGTATGGGTGTAGTGGTAGCTTTGGGGGTGAGGGTCGGGGTCTGGACTCTGTTTATATTTTCTTTTCTCAAGTAGGTTTAAAAGCTTCAGAGTATGTGCTTTGAATTAGATGTTTAACAAGCTAATATTATTAATTCTAGTTTCTGCCCTCTTGCCCTTAGGAAGACTATTCTGAGGTTATTTCCAACCAGGAACAAGTTTCTTCTTTACTCTTGTTGAGATTAAAGCCATAGCAGTTACTCTGTCTTTTTGTGCATTTCCATAAATAGATCACAGAGCATTGCCCATGGGAGGCTCTCGGGTGGGGTGAGCATATTAACGTCAACATGCTCACAGCCCTGAAAGCACAGTAGGCATGTGGGGAAGCTGTAGCTCTTAGCTCAGTGTTCAAAAAGAACATAACATTCTGTTTCTTTCAGATATGGGCTTCCTCAGACCAGAGGTAAGGGAACATGTTCTGGTAAGGGCTGCGGCAGATGTCCCATCTGCGGTGTCTTCCATGATGTCTCAGGTAACACAGAATGGACAGCGGCTTTGCTCCAACACAGCCGCATGTGTGCCTGCTGCTTTTCTTGAGCTATGCATAATTCACACGAACTATCGTAAGATAGAATACTTAAAATATATTCTTTTTCTCAGATGTTTTTGTTTTCTTCATTCTTTCCCCTTTTTCAATTTCTAACAATTTCATGCATGAGTAAAATGTACTGTGATCATAGTGACCTCCCCATTTCTCTCTCCCCTCTCAACTATCCCCCCTCCTTACCCATGTCTCTGGACATGTGCAGGGTCTGGGTGTGTGTTCACGGTTGCAGTGTGCAAGCCATTTTCAGAGCACGGTGACTCTCAGCACTAGCCTCCATCCTCAGGGTCTACAGACCTCCTAGCCTCTTCCATGATGTTCTCCTGTCCCTGGTAAGGTGACATAAATGTCCCATGTGGTGCTGAGCAGTCAACAGACACTCACAGCACATGGAGCAGCTGTGAGTCTCTGTATGAGCCACTGCCTACTGTAAGAGGAAGCCTCTCTGGCCAGGCTGGGGGCTGTACTAGTCTGTAGGTATAAGTGCTTAGGAGACAGTGTAGCCATCTGTCTGACTTGGCTGCCAAGGGCTTGTTTTAAGCTTATCAGCTTATTTGCTTGAGTCAAAATTCTACTACGAGTTGCATGAGGGCCTTGGACTCAGTCTAGCCCAGGATGACCTCAAAATCACAGCAATCCTCCTGCCTCAGTCCCACAGAGTACTGAAATTACACGTATGTACCATGATGTCTAAAGGTGGGACTTTTCAACCATTTAAAAATGTAACGTTATTTTTAGCTCATAAACCAAACAAACAAGAATAAAATAAAGATAAACAAGCAAACAAGAAATTAAAAAAAATCAGGCCAGGTAGTGGTGGTGCACTCCTTTAATCCCAGAACTCAGGAAGCAGAGGCAGGCGGCAGGCAGATTTCTGTGAGTTCAAGGCCCTCCTGGTCTACAGAATGAGTTCCAGGATAGGCAAAAAGAAAATGTCTCAAAAAAAAAAAAAACAAATCAGGTGGCTGGTCAGATAGTGTGTGAGTAACAGTAGCTGGCCCCTACCCCAGACTTCTTCACTAATGTTACCCGTTAGTCCCATGCCTGTGCTGGGTTCACTATGCTCTCTCTCTCTCTCTCTCTCTCTCTCTCTCTCTCTCTCTCTCTCTCTCTCTCTCTCTCTCTCTCTCTCTCTCTCTCTGTCTCTCTGTCTCACACACACACACACACACACACACACATACTCAGCTAAATAAATGTGAATGTGATTTAACAATGAGCCATGAGCCACATGGATACAGCTGCTACATGGTATGTTTTTTTTCCTGACACTGTGTATACAGATAAATGCACATACACACACACACACACACACACACACACACACCTTTACAAGTGTACGTAAACACACACACACAGATCTAAATGAACGCATCTCCCATCTCCCTTGAACACTTTATCAGGGATTCTAAGTGTTTCCAGTTGTCACTGTCGCCTCTTTAGGAGGGCTGTTTAACCACTGTCTGTCCCTGCCCCATTTTCTGGCTTTAAAACTGTATTTTCAGGGCTTGATCCTATCCAATCTCAACAGCTCCATCTTTCTTCAGTCAATCATCTGGTTGGTTGCCAGCTCAACCACAGTTCCTTGGATACTAGTAGATTTTCACCTAGAGTCAGATGGCATTGGGTGGTTTGGCCGTAGGCATAGCGCCATCGACAGGAGCCGATGGAACAGACTCGACTTTTCATGTGTCTGGGAGGTAGTTACACAAATTCTATGTGCTGCTGTTGTTTCAACTGGCATGGAGTCTGAAGCGAACAGGAAAATCAATCGAGGAAGAACAGAAATGAACACAGAGGTACTCCAGGAGTGTGGCTTGGAGGCCACAAGGACAAACTGGGACTCCCATGAGCCTCTGTTGATGCTCCCAGCTTCAAACACACAACTGACTTGCAGGAAAAGCTAGCACACTTGGCCATTTTTCTAGTTGGATACCTGGCCCAGCTAGGTTCTGGGGAGCCTGAAGGAAGAGACCTGGTGAAGGACCAAGGAATGCACGCCTGGCTTCTTCCCTTTGTCATAAGGGAACCAGACATCAGCAGTTACCGTGTGACCTACCCCAGCAGAGTCATGTGCTGTGTACTTCCCAGTCTCGGTTGATACAGTGCTTGCAAACCCCTGGGGCTCCCAGCAAGGCACAAACTGGGTATGATGCCATGTTAATCACAGCCCTTGAGAGGTAGAGGCAGCAGGATCAGGAGTTCAAGGTTATCCATGCTCTGCTATTTACTGAGTCGGCCACAAAGCAGTCCTAAAGGGCTGTACAAACTCCTTTCTCCCTAGTGACGGTCTATTTAGTCCTTCAATTGTTTTTATAAAGCCCGTTAAAGTCCTTTCCCCCCTCTTCTGGCACTATCCCGGGGAGAGCAGGCATGGGGGCACCAGGACCTTATCCTTGGCATTGCACACAGATTTAGAAACTGGTCCTGCATGGAGGATGGATGCACCTTGCCCGGATAAGAGAACAGCCTAAGAGGTCACCTTTCCCCTGCATGGGGTGCTTCCCCCTCCCTGCTGGTTCCACAGAAGGCCTTTCATTGGCGCCCCAGGCCCGGCAGGCCTGGCTTCCTGCCTTTTTCTGAGCAGAGTGGCAGGGGCTGTGTCTCCTCACTACAGCCTTCCTGCGCTGACGGCACCATTTGTTCTGCCTTTCCCCTAGGGAAGATGCTGTCTTGTCTGTTCTGGGAAACAGATTTGGGAAAAACACATGTTTGTCTTTTAAAGGAATTTATTATTATTCAAGCCACCTTATGGACTCAAACACTGATTTTAAAAGCAAAAACAACAACAAAAAACCAGTGAAATTCCCCTTCAATGACAACAGAAAGAAGTGCTTTGGGGGTGATTTGGGCCGTGCATTTTTGAATTACTATAACCACAAAAATGTGTTCTCTGTGTGTGTGTGCAAGTAATGACCAGTCCATTTCTTGACTTATGTGCTTAGTTCAGATTAATTTCCTTAAAAATAAAAAGGACTTCGTTTTAAATCATATGTATGTGATGGCTTTTGCACATGTGTTCAGGTGCCAGTGGAGGCCAAAAGATGATGTCCCATCCCCTGGAGCTAGTGATAGGCAACTGTGAGTCTCCTGATGTTGGCGGTAGGGACTGAACTCTGGTCCTTGGCAAGACCAAAAGAAACAACTGCTGAGCCATCTCGATGGCTTTCTTCATCCTTTTATGCCAGCAACTTCAGAAAAGCCTTGGCCTTTGTATACACATATTCTTAAAAAGTAGTCTGCAAATTCATAGGCTTGTGTGATAAATTATACTGTGCATTTCAATACAGCCTGAAATGATCTGTGAACTAGGGAGTGTGTGTGTATATGTGTGTGTGTGTGTGTGTGTGTGTGTGTGTGAAGGGTCCCAGAGACAACTTCCCAAGAAAGACATTTGGAAACACATACATGGAATTCCAAGGAAATTTGTCACCAGCACAGAGCCTTTGTCAGGTGGGTCCCCACCTTCCTTTCATTGATGTCAGAAAGGGGACATCTTTTCAGTAATATCTGCTATGATTTTACACACCTGGACCTTCCACTTTCATTTCTGGAGGTTAACAGTGAGAAAGGTTGTTCGCGATCCTTCACAGATTATAATATCGTATTGTTTCCCTCCAAAACTTATACCAGAGTTTCAGTGTTGGTGTAAGGTTTTATGTTAGTGAGATTTTCAGTGTTAGTATAAGGTTATATGTCTGCACTTACATGTGTTTTGTGTTTAGTATCTTGCTGCCCATAAACGTATTTCACTGGGGCTAGACAGATGACTCAGATCCATTTGGTTCTTAACATTCATGACAGGCTGTCTCCTGTCCCTTGCAACTCCATCTCCAAGGGATCCCATGTCCTTTCCTGACCTCTGCAGGTGTGTGTGTGTGTGTGTGTGTGTGTGTGTGTGTGTGTGTATAAATAAAATCAATTGTGACCCAAAGTAGAGATAGCTGCCTTAGAATACTTTCTGGTCTCACCGTTAAAAAAGCATATGTAGAACCATATATCACGTTGAAAGTTCTTGAGTCTAATTTGGAATTAGAAATGAGCCATTAGAAATTTTCCTGAATTAACTGGTGAGAGAGTCCTGGAATTAAGCAAACAATAATTGAAAAGAAGGCGAGGTGTTACAAGTCGGCATAAACAGTGTAGCTAAGCAACTTAGAGAGAAGGGGGATTAATTGTTTGGTTTGTGTATTTGGAGGAAACTCTCTCAAGGAGATTGACTGGCCAGGACCTGAAGGATTGGCAAAAGGTGGGAAGGAGCGTGAATCCCAGTTTGAAGGAACTCCACTGGTGTCAGCAACACCAAGAGTTTTTGCTTTCCTTTTTACAGTTATGTCTTCACCATCTTGCCCTTGTTGAGAACATGTGGGACCAGTAAACAACACTGTCCTCCACCAAGTCATGGAGCAGAGTGGAGGACCACAGTGATGGCCAAAGATCCCATATGAAAAGGTAATGAAGAGTGAGCACTGACTCTGTCATGTGCTTGCTCCAATTTTCCCATCTAACCTTCATGAGCCATCTGTAAGAAAATAACATAATTTGTCCATTTGAGACTTAAGGGATCGGGCAGCATGGGGAAGTTGTAGTTAGGAAGCGACGGAAAAAGGTTTTCTATATTTGAGTATGGAGACTGAACTTAGCACATGTGACAACAGAGTGTTTCTTCTGCACCATCTAGGTCTATGATTCTACATAAATGACGATTTCTTCCTCGTTCTTTTCTGGGTGAGGAAGGACCATGCTAGTGTAGACTGATCAGAAGTGAGCTCTGGCTACACAGAGTCCACACTTGTCACCGGTACACTCCTAGTCTTCATCAGACCTTGAACTCTTTCTCTCAATTTATCGTGCCCAGAGAATTTAATTTAATAATTCTTAACTATCACTCTTTTCTTTAAGGCCTACTGCTCTTTTCTTCCCCTTTATACCAGTATCACTTGAGGTAAGGTGGTGGAGGACCAGTAAGAACACTTTCTCTTTAGATCAAAGTACAAGGGAAATAATTCTGTTCAGGGCACCCAAAGCAGAGAGCAGAACGGCAGAGGATGCTGCAAGATTGCTTTGGTGCTTTCTGTGCAGAAGCATCTCTCTTTCAGTTAGAGGGAGCCTCATGTGTACATTTTCCCAGCATGCAATTTCCATGATGCAAATGCAGTGACCCTGGTTGGTCAATGTTCAGGTATTTGTGCCCTGGCTCTGTGGGATCTAGTCAATGCTGGTTGGCCACAGCTCTCCCAAGGTGCCACTGTTTTCAGTTCCTGCATGAGGAAGCAGTGTCCTGCTTGAGGGAGCTTTTCTGCACCAGGATTAAGTGGGTGAAGGATACATTCTCTTTCTTGTCTCTGAGCTATGGCCTTCTCACAATGGCTTTATTTTCTAATAGAAAAAAAAAAAAGCATGCAGCCTCAGTAGGCCACATCTGTGATGAACACTTTTTTATATTGTGCGCGTCTGAGTCCTCAGCCTATTGCACAACCTTGAGATGTTCTTTTAAATAGTATAAGCTGCCTTCCGAAGGTCCATTGTCTACAAGGCTAATCATTTCATATAGCAGGTCACCAGCATCTTAATTATTAATTTCCTGTGACACAGCACTCCCTTCGCTGTGGGTCCTAGACCCCATGTGTGTTAAGAAAAATCGTGGAATTACTATTTGGTCCTTCACATGAAAATGCTGGCAGCACTATTTATCAGCGGATGAAATCACAAAGTGTGATGCAAATGTGGTTTGGTCTCTTTCCAAAGGCGTTAGTCTTCTACAGAACTGTGAGGCTGTACTTTGGAAGAACAAAGCACCATGCTTTACAGAGCTTCCGCAGAGGAAATAGGTTCTCTCTCTGTTGACAAAAATCTTTGTTAATGATCCCAAAATGATCCATCTCCACCTGAACTTAATGGATCCAGCCTTCAAGCCTTCTCCTTACTAAATAGCCTTGGCCACCATGGCCTGTGCACCTGGCAACATATTTCACTTCCTCTGGTTTAACCTGCCTTCTTTTCTTCTCACAGGTGGAAAATTACCAGTATTAATACAGCCTCAGACCAGGTAATTGGGCACACTCGAGCATTCCCAAGGGGTACAGCACCTAATTGCATTTGCAAGCAGCCACCTGCAGGCATAAATTGTGAGCTTAACATGGCAAATGCTGAGGGACAGCCAAGTTTCTAAGACCATCCAGTTGTCTTGAGGGCATTGAATTGTTCAACATGCTGTGGGTATGTTTGCAAGCTCTTGATGTATGTTTATGAGCTGAGAAGTAGGGGAGAGACAGAGAAGCAGAGAGAAGCAAGCCTACTCATTCTACACTAACACAATTTTAAAAATCTAAGATGTCCTTAAAATGACCGCAGATATATATACATATATACCTCCCAAAGCATCTCAATTACAGCTTCATCCTTCGACAGGTTTGGAACTAACGTATGTGTGTAAAGGTTTACATCGCACTGTGTAAGCCAGGACCTACTCAGCAGTGTGTTCCTCCATGAGTCAGTTGAGTGATGCTTGATAGAAATGAAATGTGACAGAATAAAGGAGCTGGTAAAATCATTCATTCATGTTGACTTTACCTGTGCTTTCTCTCTCTCTCTCTCTTTCTCTCTCTCTTTTTGTAGCCCATGCTCACCTTGAATTTATGCGATAGCCAAGGATGACCCTGAACTTCTAATCTCCCTGCCCCCATGTTCTAAGTGCACCCTCATGTCAGGTTTACGCAGTACTGGATTGTAAACCCAGGACTTCTTGCTTGCTAAGCAAGCTCTCTACCAATTTAGCCCTGTCCAGTGCCGAAGTCTTTAAAAAGAAAAGTGAATGGAAGCAGATACAGAAATCCACAACTAACCATTGGGCCAAGCTCCTGGAGTACAATCAAAGTGAAGGAGGAGCGATAATATCAACAAAGCTGACCATGATGAGAGAAACTCATAGAATCAGCTGACTCGAGCTAGAGAGAGATCACTGAGTCTGGTCTGACAAATGGGGAAGCTGCATGAGACCAAATTAGACTCCCTTCATATAGGTGACACTGGTGTGGCCACTGGCAGTGAGTCCAAGATCTAACTCTGATGCACAAACTGACTTAGTGGAGCCCAGTCTATATGGAGAGATACCTTGGCCAGCCTAGACACAGGGGTGTAGGGGTGGAGAGGTGCCTTGGCCCTGCCTCAACTAGATGATGGGACAGACTTAGGAGGTACAGATACGAGGTGTGGGGGGGGGAATTAGAGGGAGTGGGAGGAGAGAAGGGAGGGGGAACTGGGATTGGAATGTAAAAAAATTAATTAAAAAAAGCAAAAAGAAAAGTAACTTGTGTTCATTTCTGTAAGTTTTCACACACTACTAACTAATGATTTTAGGGCTTGTGTGAAACATCTGTGATAGAGTAAGCAGGAACTTCAATGACACAGCACATGACAGAGAGGACCTCAGAGTCTTAGGAATGGAAACTTACCTGTCAGAGCAGACTGCCTTATAACAACAAGAAAAAGGACCCCTTGCAATCCCAACTGGGCAGACACTGATAATTACAACGCAGGCAATACAAAAGAGAATTTGCCTTATAATTTTAGTCTGAAGTCCATAGTGGTTCTGATCTCTTGTGGAAGACAGTATGTTTGAATCATATCCACATGGGAGGATACTTTCCCTTAAATTCAACTCTTTGTCATTCTTTCCTGTCTGTTCATCCAACAGCTTCCTCTTCTTGCTTTCTGAAGAAAGCCTGGGAGCTGAGCAGACACTGGTCCTGATGACTAAGCACCATGGCTTTAAGTAGACTGTGAAAGATTCGATCTCTCAGGGATGCAGTGGAAAGGATGGCTGCTCACCATGTCCCTGATAGAATTCATCACCCTAAGTCCTGTAGAGCAGTTGGCCAGCTCTGGCTTTGTTTATAAAAGCACAGGAACCAATCTCGTGTGGGTTCTGAGGACTCAACTTAGGCAGGTCTTCATGCTTACAGGGTGAGAAGTTTACCTACTGAACTATCTTCCCCAGCTAATGAGAAAGGTCTACATCTGGAAGATTAGATATTGTGGGCTGCTGTGGAATATTCCTTTTGTACTCTCTGAAGATGTGTTACTCGGGTTGGTTAATAAAGAGGCTGACAGGCCAATAGCTAGACAGGAAAAGGTTAGGGGGAGATCCAAACAGAGAACGCTGGGAGGAAGAAAGTCGGAGTCTTCAATCACCAAGAGAGACAGAGAGAAGCAAAATGGGCATACCATACTGAGAAAAGGTACCAAGCCATGTAGCAAAGCATAGGTAAGGAATATGGGATAATTTAAAGTGTAAGAGTTAGCAGTAACAAGCCTGATCTACTGGCTGAGAATTTATAATTAATATTAAGTCTCCAAGACAAGAAAACTCTGCCTGCGGTGGCCAGAACTCCCTTCCATGAGTCTGTTCCTTCATTTCCTATCTAAAGACTGTGGTGGAGATTACCTTTATCCTGTCATATGTCGACAACATTGTCATTTTATGTGTTTATTTTTATTTTAGGGAGACTTGAAGAACCAGTGGGGTTATTGGCTGAAGTCTATGGACTATCCACATCTCTATCTTTTTAATAAGTATTATTTATGTATTTATTTATTTATTTATTTCTATTTGTGTATGTGTCTGTCACGTGTGTGCAGGTCGCCAAGGCTAGAAGAGGGGATCAGGTCCTCTGGAGCTGGAGTTACAAGCAATTGTGATCTGTCTGATGTGGGTGTTAGGAAATGAACTTGGGTCCCCTGGGATAGCAGGAGGCACCCTTAACCACCAACCCAGCTCTTGAGCATCTCATCTCTGTTTTTCTTTCAAATGAAAAATGTCTTTCCTTCTACCCCTATTTCCTAGTAACCTCATTCAGGCCAAATTTGGACTCTGGTGGCCAAGACCCCGCCTTTTCTCGGACTCAGTTTCCTGTGCTCTGGAAGAAAGTCCTTTTCTTAATTGTCATTCTCCTTTTGTTAAGACTCAAGCCTCAAGCGGTATTAAGGTAAACCCTTATGTTATCCCGCAGTGGCAACCTGGTCCTTGCAGTGACTTGGAAGGAGTCCCACAGTGAGTTGTGTTCCCACAAATTTCCAGCAAAGCTCATTGCGCTCCACTCACAGTAGCAAACACAAAACCACCTCCTCTCCCATGTAACAATAGTGGCTGCTTTCCTGGGGTGGGGATATCTGTGTTAGGAAAGCTGTATTTCACCAAAGAACAGGATATCCTGGTAAACTCTACATTCTTGAGATCTGCCTGTTGGGGGAACTATCAAGTCTCCTGTGGTGGAGCCTTTGCCCTCTCCTCAGACTGACCGTGTCCTTCACAAGTTGTCTCTGCCTTTGAAATTACCTGCTCTGGAAGGCATTCAAAGACTGGCTCAAGGGCTTACACATTGTAAAACACAGGTTTTCTAATGTAAATCCCAAGAGAGATTTCTCAGGGAGAAGGACGCTTCCCTGTGTCCATCTCGTGTGGAATTCTGCTTATACTTATCTTATTTTGGTTTATTTTTGGTCTTCACTTTCATCTTGATGTTTACATCTGTCAGCTTTAGAGTTTCTGCTTTTCATTACAACTCAAATCCTGGGCAACTCAATGTTTATTATTCTCCTTCTCTCCTTCCCCGCCTTTCTCCTTTCTCTCCAAACTGCTTGCTTCCCCTTCTCTTTCTTTCTTTCTCTCTCTCTTCCTTTCTTCCTTCCTTTCTTCCTTCCTTCCTTTCTTTCTCTCTTTCTTTCTTTCTTTCTTTCTTTCTTTCTTTCTTTCTTTTGTTCTTTCCCTCCATCCCTCCCTCCCTCCCTCATTCCTTTCTTTCTTCTTTCTAGGCAGAATATAATCTGCCTCATCCCTCTGACCCAAAGGACACTCTATTTGCGTTTCTCATGTGCTCTTGTGGTTGTTCAGTCACAAAATACTTACCATTACATTATTAATAATTTCTCAAAAGTAAAAACCAAGTCAGGTGACAAGGTAATAGCATCAGTGGTTCATGCCTGCCTTGAGGACCTTAGTTTGGTTGCAGAACTCACATAAAATAAAACCATCATGTTCTCAGTTGTAGAAATCTTGCCTAACATGCCCAAGGTCCAGGGTGGATCCCCAGCAATGCCCCCTCCCCACACCCCCACAAAAAGCCATGACACAGATCTGTAATTCTAATACAAGAAAGGTAGAGAATTCCCTGACCAAGCAGTCAAAATCTGTTTGGCCAAGCCTACTCCAAGCCAGTGAGAGACCCTGAATAAATAATAATAAAAAAGATGCATAGATTCTGTTCTGAGGAATGACAACTGAGGTTGTCTTCTGGCTTCTGTGTGCCTACAACACACACACATACACCCACACACACACACACACACACACACTCTCTCTCGTGCATGGACATGCATACACATGTATACACACAGCACACACACAAAAGCAGTGTCAGCTTTTCTACAAAGGCCCAAATACAAGTGTATTTGTAAAGAAACATTGAGCTACCGCTCTGTACCTCCAATTAGTGTAGAGTCATTTGCTTTTCTAAATGACAGTGAAACCAGAAAGTTGCACCAGTTTGATGGGATTATGACACTATTCCACCCAGGAGAGACTGCCTGGGGGGTCAGCAAAGTGAGGGTTTCCCACTCACAATCTGGCTCATAATCTGGGTCCTGTCAGCCTCCAGGAGTGATTAACGGGTGACTTGACACAGAAGACCACAGTGCGTAAAGGTCCAGCCCCACAGGCTTTGGAATCCACTCAGATGACCCAAGGGTATAGCTCAGCTTAGGTATCCCAAGCATATTCCCCTGGGTTTAAGTTGATGGCTGCCATTATGTCTGAGATTCCCACCCCATTACATAGCCGTGAGGATGGAGCAGCCAAATGTGTTTGCACACAGACTGCAGGTAAGATGGGGTGGAGATCACAACTATCGTCATCAGCTGAATTAATTTAAACTGCATTTGCAGAAAGTGGTGTATTCTACAATGTTCATACAACGTGAATAAGTAAAATTAAAGACAGCAAATTACACTCAGAAGCTTTGTTGTATAAACAGTGAGGAAGAGCGGAGGCAATCAAATCTATTATGCAAATTTTAAATGAGTCAAATTATGACAGCTTAATGTTCCCATCTGCACAAGATGAATCAACCTGCCTCCTGAGCCACAGATAGAACGAAAGGGCTTCCCGGGTCTGAGGTCAGGAACCTTAGTTGTTTGAGTCATTTGTCCATTGCTCTACACTCACCCAGCCTTCAGTTACATCAAGACCTTCAGAGCTGAGCATGGTGGCTATCACATCTGAGTCTACCCTCTGGACCTCTCATGAAGGCTGCTATAGATTCCTTCTCTGATCCACCGTGAGTGAAGAAGAAGATCTTTGTTCACACTTATCTGCTAATGTGGCTGGGAGATTTAAGATGGCCTTAACATTTCCTCTTATATATCAAGGTGGGATAAAGGAATAGAACCTAGGAAGGGTCTCAAAACACACTCACTTACTAGAAGGATCAAAGTTTCAGCGATGGGTTGATGAGCTGTGGATGGTAGGAAATGGAGAGTCAAAGACTGTTGACCCTGCATTGGTCTTATACTAGAGCTGGGGAGCTTATGGAGTCAAAGGTGTGTACATTTGACTTCAGATCTATTTGTCTATGCCTTTTCTTGTGGAAACGGAATGCAGAATCCACAGCATTGCCTTCAGTTTGCTGAACTTTCCTCTTAACAATTATTGTCCCTGTCTGCACATCCAGGAGCCAGTGAACAACTCAGACCTCATTCAGCAAATGACCATTTCATCAAAGGCAAATACAGTCAATGGCCTTTCCTCCTACCTTCCATCCTCAAAGGTATTCTGTGATGGACAATTGTCTCCCTTGTCTTCCTAGCAGCACACTGAGGGGTACTAGCGGGTCTGCTTTCATCCCCCGTTTCTGTTGCTACCAATTGCATGTGAGAGGATGGGACAGTTCATGTGGGTAACTACTGAATGTAAAATGTCCATGAATAAACCATCTTGTATGAGAAAATTGCATTGACGATATATTTGTTGTATATATTGAATATGTTCAGCAACGTTTTCTTAAGTATTAAGAACTGTATACACTATCTGTGTGGGACCAACAGCATATTCTTCAGAAGCAGATTAAAAATGTCCTAGATGGGGGCTGGAGAGACGGCTCAGTGCTTAAGA